CCCCCCTCCTTTTAGCTGAAGTGCTCCATGCTGAAAAAGTTAAATTGTGTGGGATCCATGTTTGCTGCGTCCTATATTGCCTGCAATTTCCAAAGCGTCCAAATAAGACTCTTTACTGTCAGCCATGTTGACTTTATAATCTCTATAGACATGGCTTGAGAAGCTCTTTATCCTGGCATACATCTGTGAGGGGTTAGAAACCCTGTTTGTCTGTGCCCCTGTTAAGGAGGTTTGCCCTCTTGATTTGTCCTGGTGATGTCATCAATGTAGAGGAAAGAAAATCCCAAATGTTGAGGTGTCCCATCAGGAATAGATGGGGAAATCTTCCAATAGGGACACTAGTTCTGCTGACCATCTCCTCTCCCTTCCTGCTGGGGAATGTAAATGTGATTTTCCACAATGCCACACAGATGGTCATCAGAAATCTGACTGGGGTTATAACCCTCCCTTACTCCTAACCAAAAAAAGGCTTAAAGGTGATTTTCACTCAGCCTTATAATCTGAGCCGACCTGTGACAATGAAACTGTCACAGGTCGGCTCAGTAGATCGGGAAGTGAGCGAACACATAACGGCGCTCGCTCACTCCTCAATCTATCCGTGCAGAGAGCCGTGACTGTCACTCATGGCTCCCTGCAGCGCTGACTGGTGGGATGAGAGGGGGAGGGGGTGGGTTCGGATTGCACTGCCTCTAGATAGGCAGAGCTAGCTGTCACTCACGCAGCTGGGTGGATTCAGACGGCATTGTTGGGATCCGTTCCGGCTGCGGCGCCTCAGTATACCGCGAGCAATACTGAGCTTTGGGTGACTGGAGGACGCTAGCTTGTGTTCTCCTGTTACCCTTATGAGAATTATGGAGAAAAGCCCTGACCCCATAGTTCTCTAACTTGCTGCATTGAGCTGGGTAATGCTGAGTCGGAGTAGATGGAAGCCTAATTGAAGACAGTGCTGTTGTCTTTGCTATGTAGTCTTGCAGGCATGTGTATTAAATGATGCCTAACTATAAATCCTTTAGTAGAGGAGTTCTAGGTTTAATTAGGATTGACGCTTCCAAATGTGTATTTTTTTAATTGCTATAAAGAGTAATGTGTATAGAAACCCAAAATATCCCAAAACTAGCATTGTGTTGCAGCCAGGGCTGGATTTACTTTCTGCTGCCCCAAGGCCAGGTTCCTCAATGTGCCCCCTACAAACCACCACCACCTATTGGGCTGCAATGTTCTCGCTGTGGCTTGTGGTTGGTCTACTATCCCTTTTTCTTGTGAACAGATGAGTGCCTATGTACAGGTCATGCCAGAAGTCCCTAAAGTGGGCAAGGAGATAAATAATGGGAGGTGACATGGGAGAGACTGGATGGTAGCAAACCAGACTGGAAAACTCTTGGCTAGACACTACTGAAGTGGGAAAGTTTGGGATTTGTGTTCATCAAAGTTTACCACCTATCCAGACTTCATCTACGGCATCTCATTGTAACACTGTGGTTTTATCTTAGATGACTCCAGACTGGATGATCTACTCCACCAATCTTGTCTACAGCCCAACCTCTTCCACAAATGTCCCCATTACCAGGACAAGCTCTGCAGTCATGCCAATTCGTTGCTACTATACCAGGTGAGTAATGAGGGCAATGGCACAGGTGTGGGGAAGGTCTCTGGACTTGTGTAGATGTCTCTTGCTCAGACCTGAGTGGGAACACTTAAGGTCTTGAGGCACAGGCAGACAGTTTTCTTTAACGTGGCTCCAGTCACTTTAAGCGCTATGGTAGCTGACAAATCTTCAGTGTGGGGACCCTGAAGACGGAACACGTATGGTCCCCATGTTTAAAGGCTGCTAACTTTTGCTTAGACTTTAAGCTCAGCTGTCATATTTACAGGGGCTGTCTGTTTTTCTTTATGGGAATGCTAATTGTCTGGCTAAAGACTTAATATGGAGTCAGATCCAGGATAAGTGCTTCAATTTGTCAGTATTTCTCATCCCTACTTTAGTCAATGACTCAAAGCCTTGATGTTTTAGCCTCAGCCTTAGAGCTGGAGAACTAGAGCCTCAAAAGGAAGGGATCACAAAAGTTGGTCTACATTATCTCATAAGACATAAGGATGGCCTTAGTGTGTGTCCAACATGAATACAAAGTCACTAGGCATGTTATCTGCCATTACAAGGTTACTCTTGTATCTGAAAACTGGGATAGCATGGGAATGACTGATCAGCCTGCCAATTTGGTTAATTAGGAACTCCAATGAAAAAGGTCTTGTCTTGCACTTTAATGTTGATATGTACTCCCTTTGTGTCTAGGTATGCCAATGTGAGCAGCAAGGCTGTCAGACCAACATGGGTTCCATTCATCACCACAGTCTCCTATGAGGAGAAATTAAACTTCTCCCTGACTCTGATGGCTGGTATGTGTATGAGTGGTAATGGTGGTTGGGCCTAACCCCCCTTCTACTTTGTTTTGAGTCTACATCTGGCCCCTCCTAATCTTTTCATTTGATCTAGATGACTGGAGTGGCCCCAGAGATTCCACTGTCTTCCAATTGGGGGAAAAAATCTACATAGAAGCCTCTGTGGGCATTGAAAACCATATTGACATGATCCTGTTTGTCGACAGCTGTGTGGCCACCATAACTCCTGATCCCAACTCTTCTCCTCGCTATGAAATCATTAACGCCAATGGGTATGTTCATCAGTTAATGGGAGGTGGGGTTGCTTTGATATGGCTGAGTGCTATGACTGGTCATGTTCTGTAGGTGCTTTGTGGATGGAACACAAGAGGATTCTTCTTCAGCCTTCATCTCTCCAAGAACCAGTCCTGGCAGTCTGCAGTTCACTGTTGATGCTTTCCGATTCCTGGATGTGGATTTGTCTATGGTAAGAGCTGTTGCTGAACAGGTTTTATGAACACTGTACCCTTTGTGCTACTACAGTTGCATCTCTTTCCTCTGTCCTCCTAGATCTTTATCTCCTGTCAACTGAGAGGTGCTGCAGCCACCCAAGTCCCTGACCACATGAACAAAGCCTGTTCCTACAGCAAAGCCACAAAGAGGTGACCTTAAACTTGAGACTTGTGTATATCAAGGTTCTGGCTATATCTATGGTCACATGATCAACCCCTTAATTGCTATCCTTGGTTTTAGTTAGACCTGTTCTCAAATAAATCGGCATATACAGTGTAAAATTTTAGGATTATGGATGTTAACCCTTGATTGATAGATTCAAGCTCTAGGGTTTTCATGAGCATTTAAAGACTAAGCTGCATATTGCATGTGACAGACCACACAGCACCCCGACTAGGTGCCTCTGTCACTATGAAGCTTCCTCTCCGTTGGAACCCAAATTTGTGTCCTCAGCCCAAAAAGAAGATGCATATAATGGGGTTGTCTCCTGAGTGCCTATCATATGTTCATTCACTCAGCTACATCTAGTGTCAAGTTAACCCAATCACACAATTAGACTTGACCTGACAAGTTAAATAGGAGTCAAGGCCAGAGTTAACCCCTTTGGTATTGCTGGACTTGCACCATGTACCTATAATGGGCACAGGATGACTTAAACATATTGCCAGGGGAAAGATGTGGCATATCCACTCCACACAAATCTGGGTTAATGGTCCAAGGGGTACACGTACATGACAATCCTCAGGGTTCCAGGAACAGTCCATCATAGCTCCATGTAACCCCAGGAGGTCGGGGGGGGGGGGGCTCCCTAGTCTTCCTCTCACTGA